TGCGGGAGGTGCTGGGCCCAGCGCAAGGGCTGCTTTTCGACTGCGACGGCGTCCTGTGGGCGGGCGAGCGCGCCGTGCCCGGTGCCCCCGAGCTGCTGGAGCGGCTGAGGCGCAGCGGCAAGGCCGCCCTTTTCGTCAGCAATAACAGCCGCCGCTCGGTGGCCGAGCTGGAGCGGCGCTTCAGCCGTCTCGGCTTCCGCGGCGTGCGCGCCGAGCACGTCTTCAGCTCCGCGCTCTGCTCCGCGCTCTTCCTCCGCCAGCGCCTCCTCGGCGGCGGCGGGAACGGGAGCGGGGCCGGCCGCGTCTTCGTGCTGGGCGGCGAGGGGCTGCGCGGCGAGGTGCGCGACGCCGGGCTGCGCTTGGCGGGAGAGGGTGAGCCGGCACCCGGCGAGCCGGTGCGCGCCGTCTTGGTGGGCTACGACGACCAGTTCACCTTCGCCAAGCTGGCGCAGGCCTGTGGCTACCTGCGCGACCCGCAGTGCCTGCTGGTGGCCACCGACCCCGACCCCTGGCACCCGCTCAGCGACGGCCAGCGCACTCCTGGTGAGCCCGCACCCCGTGCCGCGCCGGCCCGGGGGGAAGGGGCTGGTGGCGGGGGTGGCCTCTGGTGGGGTTCGCTGTCCCAGGTGCGGGAGAGGATGTTCCCTGAGCGGCAGGGCGAGCAGGGATGCCCTGACACGTCCCTGCTAGCTCCCGAAGCAGTACTGGCAGCATCCCGCTTGCCTATCCTCTGGCGGGACCCGGGGTGCTGAGCTTCCCGCGGCTACTTCTCTTCCTCCTCCTTCCCTCCCTGCAGGGACTGGCAGCCTCACAGCCGCAGTGGAAACTGCTTCGGGCCGCAAGGCGCTGGTGGTGGGGAAACCCAACACGTACATGTTTGATTGCATCGTGGAGCGTTTTGGTGTCGACCCGTCCCGCACCCTCATGGTGGGAGACCGTCTGGAGACAGATATCCTCTTCGGCAAGAACTGTGGCCTTGCCACCATTCTCACCCTGACAGGCGTTTCCCGCCTGGAAGAGGCGCAGGCCTACATGGCTAGTGACAACGCTGCTGCCAAGGATCTGGTGCCCAATTACTATGTGGACAGTATTGCAGATTTGATACCAGGCCTTGATGAGTAACAGTTTGTACATGTGAGGGCAGAGGGGTCAGGTTCCCCATCTCAGATCTCCATCTGTTCCCATTTCTCTCTCACTGCCCTATTCCCTCAGATGTGGTTTCTTCACATTCCAGCATCCTTCTTTGGGGGAAAAATGAGAAGGGGATTGGCAAGAGGAGACAGGTTTCAAGTTGTCTCCTTTTTGSTGAGAGCTATCCATGATGGACATGTCCTCTCCTTCATTGCTAGCTGCCAGTGTCTTTGGGAGGGAGCTGGAGGCCTTGAGACTGCCCAGGGAGGTCAAATCAGTGTCTTTGTGGCCTCTCCCCCTGCAGGGATTAGGGACTGGCTGTTTTAGTATTATTTTTCCCTCGGATAAGCAGTGGTGGCCTTTTACTKCTGTCCTTTGACTTGTAACTTTTGACTTCCGAGCTGCATCCTGCAGCCCTTGTGGTAACCCCCTCCTTGCCAGGGGACTGGCTGACATTGTCACCCACCTGGTCTCTGTCAGTGTCAGGACAAATGAAAGGAGTGTGCCAGAGTTCTGGAATGATGAATGAGAGCATCCCTGCCTCCCACAAGTGAAAGAGAGCATTGCCTCATCTCTTCTCTCCCCCATTCCTTAGAGATGTTTTCCCCATGTGCTCCCTGCCCCAGCTCAGCTAATAATTGTGCTGGTGTCCATCTGAAGGGCAGAAGAGACTAGTTTGAGGGGTTTTTTTCTGTGCCAAGCAGACAAGCTGTGACTCTGCACAGTGTGTTTGCAGTTGTACCTTGTTCTCAAGCACCCTTTCTGAAGGGGCTTGTGAAGGACAGAGGGCTCCTAGACAACACAGCACTAGTGAATTGTATGACTGTCTCTGGTTCCCCCTTCTCAGTTGAATATTGTCATAGTACAGTGAGAGAAAAGGGCTGATGGGGGTCTGTGCTCCAGCTGCTGGTGTGCAGGTAAGATGGTGATGGTGTTGTCACTGCTGTGAATGTGTCACAGTCCTCAAAATCATTCCTTGCTTCTTTGTCTTTCTACGTTTTTTTTTAATTTCTTGAACTAATTTAACAAACTTATTTATTGTTTAAATATTCTATTATTTGTATAGATTATGCTGACTGGTTGCACCAAGGGGACAGAAGGCAGTGCCTTTGGGTATCCCTTACTGTCCATGTCCCATTTTGATTTTTTTACACTCACTGTGTCTCTGTATACAATAAAGTGTGAGCATAGGCTGGAAATTACCTCCTTTTTTCATTTACAGTCCCATGAAGATGAAACTGCCGTAGGTATCTTTGAGCCCTCAAAGGTGAGGACATGGCAAGACCTTTCCTCACTCAAGGGGATGCTGCTGGGTAGACAAGACAGGTGGATGGTCTGGTGGGCAGTGTCTTAGGGCTGTTGTTTGCTGCTGTGTCGCTGGTGCCTCAGAACCGGGGTGGAGCGTAGAGGTGGCTGTCAGTGCTGTGGCATAGAGCTCAGGGTCCAGCCAGGTCACTCAGAGCAGTGAGTGATGCAATCCTTGCCAGCTGCCTTTGCATTTCACAGCATGAGGGATTTGCTGGGGAAAGGTGACTTCTTGAGCTGCACCTGAAGGCTGCCCCTCTGCTAGCCAGGTGGACCCCAATGATCCATATGACCCTGCTAGGATAGGGGTGAGGTGCTATCTCTGTCATCTGTACAGAGCTTGCAGGAGGCTGAGAAYGGCCCAGGAAAGGTTTTGCTGTGATTCTTCTTGACCATGCTAAGCTTTGTGACAGGGAGGTGACTGTCACCATACCCTTCAGGTTACTTTTACCAGACCATATCTTGTCATGCTCTGGGTTTGGCTGTGGTCCCAGCTCGGAGGGAGAAAACAGATTGGGTAAGAAAAGTTGGAAATAACTCAAATGTAATTTGCCTCTGTTCCTTGTACAGGAGCCAGTCCTTCCTTTTGTCAGACCCCTTTAACTGCTGTTGATGGCAACCAAGCATCACATCTCCTGCTTGTGAGATCAGCTGTTTAACATTCAATAACTGTCCTCAGTGTAAGGTCATGCAGTGTCAGGTCACATGGGAGAACTGAATGCAACTTATTGTCCCTAGGATAGTTCCAGGTGCTGAGTGCCTTTTTCTTCTTTGTTTTTTTCTATCTGAAATAACCTAGGAAACAATCTTAAAAAAAAAAAAGAAAAAAAAAGGAGATCCAAAGAGCTTTCTGAAGACAGCCCGTTGTCTTAATCGGTCTCCTTTGTATATGCCCATTTTTCTCTTTTTGTCTGTCCTGTCTCCTATTAGGCTTCCAGAGGATTGGTAGTCCTTTAATCAGCATTTGACAAACACTTGCATCACCAAGTAGAGCAAGACTGAGACCTTAGGTGTCTGCTAACTTGGGTTTCCAATCTAGAGATACCCAGAGACTGCCAATGTAGCAATATCTAGAGACACCCAGACCCTGATTTATTTTTCAGAGCTCTCAGTTCTTGTATCAGGCTGAAATTTGAAGCGCTGTTGTTGTGACTTGGGGCCACAGCTGGGAATGCTCAGTATGGCTGCAAATTTCCCAGGCTGAGTTGGTTGCGTATAGGTGTACAGAGAAGACTGTGCACAGTGAGAACATCCCCAGGACATGCCCCCTTTTTCYTTTGGTGCTTTGAGGGTGGACACTTGTTTGCTCTGTTCTTTCCAGTTCTTCCATAGCAGATGGGATGCTGGAGGCTGTGGTCTCCTGGACTGGTACACTGGAAACAGAGGAAATCCATTAGTTGGTCAGATGTTCTACCCTGTGTTTGAGCAGTCTCCAAAGATACTTTGGAGTTTGTCCTTTGGATTCCAGAAGGTGAGCCTGTAGAGTAGGTTTTTTTTTCATGTGGCTGCTGCTGAAAATAGAGTTCAATAGAGGTGAATTACTAATCCCTATCTCTTGTGAACATGTAGCTTCTTTTCATCTGGTACATCTCTCCATGAGAGCTTYGCTATGAAGCAGAAGTGGAATAGGTTTACCTGTCCTTCCCTTGGTTCATAATGTAAGTGAAGGTATCAGGTGGGGGTGACTTCTGTCCTGTAAATCTCCAGGCAGCGGCTCCTGCTTTTAACAGGGATGGAGTAGCASTGCAGAGGTCCATCAAGTCTTTGGGTTTGTGTGGCTTCCCCCCACTGTCGTTGCCATCACTCCTGAATGTAATGAATATGCGTGTGAACAGATCTTGTTAGGAAACTACCAGACTGGGAGCATTCCTGGGGGTGATGAGTTCTCCATCCAAGCCTGTCAGACATCCATTCAGTCGCTGACAATAAGGGATCTGTGATCCTCGTGGGGTTCAGGCCTTGATTCCCTCTGGGATAAGTCTGGTAGGGCTACAGATAACACCTGCTGTTGAAACTGAAAAAAGCAAAGGTTCTTGCCTAAGTCAGCTGATTTCTTCTTGTCTAATGCAGCTTTTCTTCTAGGGYTGAGTGTTTAGGGAAGCAGCACAGTTGCCAGGGAGGACAGGGCCATCGGTGTAGAGCTGTGGCAGCACATAGGAGGGTGGAGYAGATGGGAAGCCCCACTTGGTGTAGTGTAGGAAAAGGTCT